AAGAATGGTGTAAAATACTATGCTTAATAAATATGAATTGTTTTCTGTGTTTGCTTTGACCAGTATTGCAAGTACATCTAGAAACTAAAGTCTTGATGTACTCTTAGTTAAATTTTGCCTTATATGGAAGTGTTTGATTAAATACCCTGAAAAGACCACAAAAACACTTTTCAAAGGTTTTTTTAAGCAGTTTCATACAAAAAAAACCAACAATTATGTTTCATTTGACTAAATTTGTGTTTTAATTACTTGTAAAGTTCACAAAATGTCATTGACAATCACTCTGCAGAAATTCCTGTTACCCCAACATCAGGATGGTTTCTTCGCCAAAACTAGACAGACAAAACTGAAGTAGAAAAAAATGCCAAATATGAAAAAATAAGACTGGGTATGACCAAACTTTGCATTTGGAAGATTAAAGTAACAATTTAGAATATTTAAAAGCAATTATTTAACATAGTAATCCAATTACAAACATTTCAACACTAGTTTCATAGATGAAGGGCATGTAATCATAAAAAGTTATCTACAATTTTTTTTAAATAAAGAAACGCAATGCGTTATGTAAAAATAAATGAATATCTTCATGCGGTCAGATTATTCAAGTGTTAAAATATTTGAAAAGTGCTTATTTACAACTTGTTCTACAACTTAACATGGTGAAACACAGCTAAAAAAAATATACACTGTCAAAGGGAGGTAATTCTGATTTTCCATATGATTTTACACATAATGAGGAGAAATATGTGCGAAATGTGTTGTAAAATGGGGGGAATATTTATGCCTTTCATTGATATCATAACTCTCAAGTGTAATTTCTATTGTTTCGTTCAATCTGGACACAAAAACTGATTTTTACCATATACCCCATGCTTCCTCTCACAGTACACTCAGTGCATCTTGGATAGCCGAGTTAAACATAGAAATTTGTGTAAAAAACAACTTCAAATGGTTCCAAAATGCTTCCATTGCATTAATATTCACAGGAAATAAGTTTTGTGATTATTGTGTGGCCTTGGACAAGTACAGTGACAGAATGCATATTTTCCTATAGGGGTAAATTCAGTAAAAAATCTCCCATTGACTGTAATGCTAATCTATGTCTTGAATTAAATTTATACCTGATTTACCTTTAGAAATTAGAAAATTTCATATATCATTCATGAAAGTATAAATGTAGCCCTATCATTTGCAACAATAAAAACATAGGGTCATGCGGCATTTTTGGGCCTTCACATGGCCTTGTTTACAAACACTGTAGATTCGCACTTAATTCCTTCACTGACCCCCATTACTTTTCAACCCTGTAGTAAAAATATTTAGTACATTCAGCATTTATTTTTTATTTTTTTTCAACTCTAGTTTTTATCCATCTATCAAAAAATATTTATTACAAACATTATCTACCAATCAGAAGAGCACATGAATTCAGTTTTATACAGAAAGCTCTCCCCCAAATGGGCGGTCCCTGATGACATATATTTATTTACTGAATTTACCCCAATAGTCTCGTAATAGTTTATTGCCAGTTCGTATATTTTTCCATTACGAAGTTCTGTAAAATAAAAATATGATAACACCTTTTCATTAAAAAAAAAAGTTCTCAGTCACTCTTTATTTTTGAATTAAACTTTTCAAACTGATAATTTTGTACACACAAAGTATGTTTCAGTGTATAAGTTTTTAAATAAATTAGATCTTCGTCAGAATTCATGTTCACAATCCCGTCTTTGGACAGGCACAAACAAATGCGGCGATGTTAGACCATTATTGGTTGAGATTTCATCACTCGCCACATGTGTTTTTGTCGCTTTCAAATTCAATAGATATACATTATTTTGTTTACTTTCTTACTCGGATTTTGGTATTGCCACTTTTAATCTTATTTCTTTTTGGTGCGTTATTTTGCAAAGGCAAATAGTCAAATCTATATTATCCATTGAACCGTTTACGAGTAAGTTAGCTACGCTTTCTTTTTTTCATATTCCTCGTATGATAAAATGCTTCTGTATGTCTAATTTCTTGTTTCAGAGATATCCTGATGAAGGCTGATTAAATGATAATTACGTTTGTATAACAAATATTTGGAACTCAAAAACTCTGTTGACGAAGATGGTGTTAATTCATACCTATTGTAATATGTTGCGACTTTGCACCGTAGTGTCACTGATATCATAGATGTGCAGGTTTGAAAAGTTTGTTAAAACTTGTTTTCACATATAATTTTTGACTTTAGATGACAAATTATATGATAGTTATGCAGCCCTTTCAATTTATAATGCCTCGTTTATTTTAGAATTGAAATGATGGGAGTTCTGGTCATATTTCATCTATTCCAATGTAGGATTTTTTTGGAAAGAAAGTTAAAATCAGAATTGAGCAAAGTTACTACAGGAAATGGTATACTTTGTTTATGCCAAAGAATTTGTTAAAGCACATCATGTTCAATATAATTGCTCTGTTATATTAATAAATTATTCAGATTTTTGCAAAATACTCACCTCAATCAAACCATTTGAAAATCTCGAGAGACAATACTTTTTTTTATATCTGAAAGCTGGGTTTATTTTATTTTTATAAACTGAATCTATTTGCTTAGTTCATCAGGCAATCGAACAGAATTTTGAAGAAGAGGTTATTTGCATATCGACTCGTCAATTTATGATGCAACATTTACAATAATATAAATAAATTCTTAAACTTTTCGTTTCATCTCTTAAGAGAGCGTGTAGTTGCGTGCTTATAGGACAAATCAGGACAATTTTCCCAATTGCAATTTACTGATGTCAACAGCTTTTACATAAAAATTACCTTTGAATATACAATACCTTCCGCATATAGGCCCATCTTAGAACACTTTATAAAAACAATGTCTTTGTTTTATTGTATTTGCTGCATATGTATACGCTTCAACGTCAGGTATTCATTTTTGAAAGTTTTATTTGTATTTAACTGACCATATTAATTATGAAAATGACAGAACTACGTTAAATTTAAAAACAAAGTTTAGTTTAGTGGTCATTTCTCAAGAGGAGAACGTATTATTTTATTTTTACTTTTGTGCGTAATTTTTATTATTAATAATTGAAAAATTGTTTTTATTCAAATTTTTAAGGGATTTCACCTCCTCCCTCCACCTCTCCAACCTATGAAATAATTGTGAAAGGATAGGTTGTCTATCATTATCAATTACGATGACTAGAAACTAAGAATTCAAAAAGTAAAATAACAAAAATACCGAACTCCGAGGAAAATTCCCTTTATCAAATGGTAAAATCAAAAGCTCAAACATATCAAACGAATAGATTATAACTGTCATAATCTTGACTTGGTACAGGCATTTTCAAATTTTCGTCATTTTACATTTTTATAAAGTTTACTTTTGTCATAAAAAACATAAACTACTGACAAATGTATCAGATAGAACCTCATTTGTAGTATTTCATACAACATAAATATCCTTTCATGTTTTTTAATCCTCAATCAGAAAACTAAGTGTTCGACCTTTGATCTCGAATTCGAAGGTTTTGCACCATTTGTACACGACAGGGTTCCTCTAAAATATGATACATGAATGCAAGAATTTAAATTTAACCATTCGCTCGGAAGAACCAAATTACCAAGACACTATATTGTATTAGTATATAAGTATAATATTAATCGAATATTTTAAGGATATAATTGTATAATATCGCTTCATTATATTTTGAACGAACAATAAGATCATATAACAGCGCACTGCACTTAATAGAGTGTCATACAAAACCAATATAACAATAAAATTCTGTTCAGGTAAACATTCGTCCCTTCTGGAGTCTATTCTATTGACAAGGCATCTTAACTATAAAACACTCATAAATCCTGTAGAAGCTCAAGTTAGTATTCGTCAACTTTTATGAACATCAAATAATCGATATCGGAACCCGTAAGAAGTATCAAATATGTTTATATAATGCCTGCAATCTCTGCTTGCTTATTCATTTTATTATACTATTAATATCGGTACGTATGAATAGTCACATTAACTGTTTATTTAATTATGGAGATCTATTTAGGATACAAAAAACTTGTAAATTAAGATAAATGAATTGCTATATCATTCACGTAATTTTATCGAAACATAACAAAAAAAGGTCCGAGTTTAGAAAAGGGACCAAAAGCATGACTTCATGAGCTATTCCCCTGAATCAATTACTGTGGATTAATTATTTTTGTTGGTATCGATTTTCGTCGATTGAAGAAAATTTAATTTTCGTATTTCGTTTTTTTTCCCCAACGTGGTTAAATTTTTAAACACATGGTCCATTTTTACCCCAAAATTTTGGTACCAAAAGTAAATAATGAATCCACAGAGTATCAAATGAAATTAAACTTGCCATTTTCGACAATGAAAGAAAATCATTTTTATAAAGATCCGTTATAAAACATATTTAACAGTTCTTTATGAATTACATGCGTCCGTTAAGTTTTTTTGGATTTACTTTCATCAGAAACGATCAAAGCCGAATATTTTAAATTTTAAAGCCAATGATCTATCCCTTTTGTATCTCCGCCTTTTTTGTTATCATTATGTTTTACAGAAATCGACATTTCCTCAAAGCAGACTGAGAACGGCGAACTCTGATGTAAAGAGTAATATTCGTTCAAAAAGGAAAGAAGGAGAGTGAAAGACGATATTTTTGATTTTACCAAATATTTGTTGAATTTAATCATTACTAATTATATGGCAAAATATATTACAAAAATGTATTTACATATAAATTTATGTGTTCACATAATGTCTATAAATCAAATTGTGAAAGGGTTAAAGAAAATCTATAATGTCACTGAAGACGGATATTGATTAAATGTTCCACACACACAACATCACACCAAAACAAACAAAGGTTTAGAAAATTTCAATGGTAGAGAACATTTAAGCAATGCATAGCTGAAGAATTCTACGTCTAAATGATAAAAAGGTTCTATAAAATGAGTAATTATCCTTTAATGTAACTGTTTATTGATACAAAGTTTATATGGATAAGCGTATGAAATATCTATACATGCGGAAATACCTTAAACCATGTATATATTTAGTGTTTAAGTGACTAGCTGAACATGAGAAGAGAGGAAAAGTGGTTACTGCGATAAAACTTCCTTTAATTTATTCCAAAACACTGTGTCACCAAATTCATCGTTGGGATATTCGATATAGGAATGGGATTGAACTAACTCTAAAACCATCATTGGTAAATCTTTTGGTGACATTTGCTCTAGAAATACTAGAAATAATATGTTTTCTTTATTTCTGGAATAAATGCTTTCCACTTTTGCCATGTTGTATTCAAACATACACCAGTACGAATCTAGATAATTATGTGACATTACAATTACCACTTTTCGGCTGTTGTGAATTGCAGATGTTATGTTCCCCGCAATATCATTTCCAGGTAGAAAATCTCTTTTATGGATACACAGCTTCAATCCAGCTTCGCGTTCTAGACAAGGCAAAAGTTTGTCATGAACGAAAAATCTATCGCTGTTGTCGTAGGATATAAAAGCATCGTACTCATATTGGCTGTCATTGTCGTAGTTTCCTTTATTTTGCACTTGATATTTATTTTTGACCATGTAATACATATATCGCAAGCGCCACCTATTGCGGTAACATATGCCCCAAATTAGAATAAACAAAAAAAAGACTAATGATGCTACTGTGCCAACAATCAAAGACGAATACGACGAACATTCCATTTGAAGCTTTTCAAAGATTCTATTTGGTTTCCGTAATGATTCTGTGTGCCCGTCAGACGTCAGGCATGAGGTTTTGTGTTTATTGTGAATCGTGATTTTTGTTGTTGACATCCACTTAATAAAGTCTATTGTATCACAACTACATTTTAGCGGATTCCCACTTATATCAATGGAAACATTGTTTTTCACTTTGTAGACTTCTTCTAAATGACCGCGAGCATGTGCACCTACACTAGAAATTCTGTTATTAGAAATGTCTAAATGTGACAACTTTTTCATGTGGTTCATTTGGAAGGTAATATCATCCATCATATTTCCTCCTAATTTTATGTCTATTACATTCGCCTGTGACTTAAAAAAATTATACGGTAAACTTGGAATCCTATTCTCTGCCAAATTAACGATTTGAAGGGCTGGCATATGCTCCATTATTTCCCCTTCATTGTCATCCGGAAGTACAAATCCAAGTAGATTATTTTGTACGAGTAATGTTGTCACATTTGGGACGCTTTTAAAAAATACCTTTGACACATTCGAACATATGTTATTAGACAAATCTAAAAATAGAACATGATCAAATGTAAGAAGTGGACCTATCCACGAATAGAAAATATTATAACTTAGATCTACATATTCTACTATGTTTTCGGAAACTGTAAACTGCGGAATTTCATAGCGAAGATAGCATTCTTTGTAAAGAGCTGTTTTTAGTTTTCGAGGAATTGGCAATACTCTCCAAGGAGTGTTATATCGTAATATTGTTTCATCAGGTGTATGAATTGGTTTACAAACTTGATTACAACAGGATTCATCAGGACGCTCGCACATTTCTTCATGTTCATTGTTCCTTCGCGAACTGAACAAAAGCGAAACATTTACAAATTCAATCTGCAAAGCTATCACATCGAAAAGATATTGGCCATACGAAATTTCATTGTCGGACATAAAGATTTTTCGAATGGAAAATGGAAGTTGCTGTATAGCTCCATCTTCAAAAAGCTGGATTCTATTACTATCACCATGCATTTCTTGCAAGTTTGTATATCTTAAATGCAAAAAATGCTGCTTCAAAACTTTCGTATTCATTTGAAATGTCTTATGAATTTTATTAAATTTCAGAATTTTTATCGAAGTAAATGGAAGGTCAACTGTCACATTTTCCAAACCATCAAACCTTAGACATGTGTTAAAAGAAATATCTAGCATTGATAAATTTCGCATAAAGCTGAATGATCCATTGTATACGTTATTTACACGACAAGCAGAAATATCTAACTCATGTATTGTTGGCACAGATCTAAACGTATCCGCTTTCACGGTGGGTACGTAACAGTGCCCAGATAATCCAGAAACGTCCAGAGTCTCTAAATGAGGAATTTCAGGGATGATTTCTTTAGACGCATTGAAATCAATCTTCAATGTGAGTAAAAATGGCGGAAATGTAACGTTGTAATTGCTCCAGCTTATATTATTCACCTTAACATCTAAATATGATAGTTTTCGTAGATATAAAAACGCATCTTCAGTTGATTTTGTAATATTATTATTGTTCATCTGAAGCTTCAAAATACCATTCAGTCCATAAAACATCTCCTTATTCAGAGAGTGTAATCTATTATTTGACAGGTTTATTTCAGTTAAAATATCGTTGTATTTAAAATGATGTTCCGGTATTTTATTTATGTAGTTGTAACTTAGATCAACACTGCTCACATTTCTTGGCAGGTAAGGTATATCCCTTAGTTTTGCTTGTGAACAATCAACATCGACATATGTTTTATTTGAAGTTTTACATCGACATCTTTGATTAAAAAAACATGTGGTTTTCATCTGCACCTTTACTGCCATTATTAGAACAAAAAACGTGAGAAAGAGAATAAGTAATGTATTTGCCATATTTCTGAAATAAAAAAGTGCATAAATTATCTCCAGACACACATATAATTAATTTACTTGAACATTTGGAGCGATTGCAATAGGTCTTTTGTTTGAGGATTACACAATCACAGCTTATTTATGTATACTTTAGTTAGGAATTTTCCACATAATACTTGAAAGCTTTACTTTATTATTTCATTCATTCATAGATTTGGTTTGGAATGATTGTTGTGCCTGAAGAGAATCGTTACAACGATAAACGGTTTATTCAGGCGTTTCCTACTTTTTTAATTTTATATGTATAATAGTTATTTAGAATATAGCAAAGTGCTCTCGACCAATGAAATTGTAGGATTTGATGTCTCTTAATTGTGAAGAATGAATGTAAATCATGTTCTTGGTAAGGGATTACCTATTGTGGGTTTATTTATAGTTCAAAACGAAGAGTGTCTATAAATGAGTTACAACTGCCCCGAAGCACATTTATCGGATTGAAAGGATTTATCACTGTGATTGAAGCTGACGAAAAAGTTGAATTGTGAATAAACTGAAAAAATCAAACAAAGTTGAAGTTTACTAGTGCAGTAACATTTGTACCTTAATGTTATTATGAAAATATTAATACCTTCAAATTACTAAAAAGATAAACAATATCAAAGCAATGCCAATTTTTTTTTTAAATTTTATAATAAAAAAATAACCTACATTTCTAACTTTCCAAAACTCTTGATTACTGAACCAGCGGTTTGGAAGAATAGTTTTTTCTATATTCAAATAAAATAGAAATAAAAAAAATAATAACACCAGGAATTTGATTTAAGTTTTGAATATATTTTAAACTTTTAAAGGCGTTTTATTAGAACATTTCCTTGATATAGTGAATTAGTATTTGATTTAAAAGCCGGACCAAAATATTGGTTGTGAAATAAAATTAGTTGTAACTCAAATGTATTTATTGATTTAAACTGTAAATAAAAAAAGGATAATTCCTTACTAAAATATTACATGATATACATTCATACTCACAATCAGGATACATATACAATGTCTACCTTTTCTTTGAACTGTTGTGTCACCTAATGTCTATAAAATATTTTTTTGTTTTAAATATTTCCCAAATTATAAGAAAGTCCTTACACCACTAAAACTAAACCATAAATGAAATGCTGTAAAATGAAGTCCCGCACCAATAATAAACATTTACACTGACCAATGGAACTAATTCTTGAATACAACCAATCAAGACATCATTTGAGCCTTGAGCACTTTACAATATTCTATGTATGTAAGACAATGATAATCCCTAACATATACATATTTTATGTTGGAGTTCCCATAATTGTTTTGTAAACAATGGGATTATGTAGGATTATGTTGTAACAACACTATAAATTAATCAAGGTAAATCCAGGTGAATCTTGTTGAAAATAAAGAAAAAGAATAGTTTAAATCACTATATTTTATTTTAAAATTTAATTGAACACTTTGTGTAAATAATATTCACAAGCACAATATAAATTTATAGGAACAATGTTATTCACAAGCAATTGAAATAGTTTAAGTGAAAACATTAATGTATACAAGTAAATAATATCAATTGAAATATAAATATATAAAAATTGTACTAATTATTCTTTGAATGAAAGCACTTAATTTTGAGTAACACTACGTATTCATGGAAACAAAGCACCAAAAGTACACTAAATTGACATATTAAAACCGAGTGCTCACACAGTAATACATTGCATTAAATTGAACTGAAAGAGAATACAAAGTCTTAATCAATTTGCAGGAGATGAGAAGCAGCATCTGCATACTTGTCTTGCGTAAGGCCATTATTCTGTAACCTTGTGTTCGGTGTTTGAAGTCTGTCGTCTATTTCCATGTAATTTCTCTTTCTAAGTACACGTTTGATGTTGGTGTTTCCCTAGGTTTTAGTTTGTAACCCGGATTTGTTTTTTCTTAACCGATTCATGACTTTTAAACAGCGGTATACTACTGTTGCCTTTATTTATTCCCACCGGCTCTGTATTGGATAAGTGTGAGAGAATGGAAGATTTCGTCTTCTTACAACAAATTGATCATGCTGAAGATGTTTGGGTGAAATGCCAATACTAACTTCTTCAGATTATTATGCAAACCTTCTAAATGACTTGTTGTTCTATGACCTTCTGTTGCGTAGTGGTTCCGTATGCTTTAGTTGTTTTCTACCCAGTAGCTTGTTACATAGTCTATGAAGTTAAGGGTTTCTGTATCAGTATGTGCGGCATCGATGTCATCCAGTGCGTTAAACCAAACATCTTCGACTCTATTATGAGATAAAAGTAGCAGAACTGCAGATATCCTAACAAGTTGGTGAATGTCGCCCTTTTCACCGTACGTTTTTGTGCATTTCTTCAGATACACCGAGTGTTGTGAAAAAAGCACCCTTTAATGTTGATTCCTAGGAAGATTGAAGTGTCTGTGTTTCTGATGGCTATTTCGTAGACCAGGAACATATGTTGAATAGTTTACATAGATCTTGAAGAATAGTGAGTAGCCTTGTGTATATCTGCTCATCTTTATCGGGTAGGAGACTGTAAACCACCGGAAACATAGTACCATCAACTTAAATATAGAAAGTGTATAGTTGGTAGAACAGTGTTGGACAAACATAGAATGTTCCTTCACAGTAGATGGCGTCTGCTGCTGCAAGATGTATGATGTTCTCTAGGGTATTGAATACAAGCATTCGACCATTGATGTTATCATCTGCAAGAAGGAAAGGTTGCTCAGTAGTAGTTTCAGCCCATTCACCATCTACTGTGATATCTGAAACTGATGTTGGTAGTGCAGGTAATGTCTTGTGTCTCTCGTTATAAAGCTGGTCTTTGCATGAGTAGAAGGTTGGTATGTGTTCAACTAGATGGTGTGTGTCATCGTTCTATTCACGGACACGTAGTTTTACAAATTCTTCTTCATTGATAGTTGGAATTGCAGTGAGTTCATCTATACAACGGGATCCCGGATTTCATACAATCTATTACGTCGTTTTTTCTAAGTTGCATTCGGTCTGAGTGGTGATTTTGGTTAGCATTCATTTTGGATGGTATTTTGTTATGTGTGTTGATAGTGACAGGACAGTTACGGGTAGAGAATTTCCAATAACATCTGTATCCACGTCTTGACTAAGTTCTGGTTGCCTTATCTATTTGTTGTAAATCTGATATCTAACTGTGCATTAGCCATGATGAACTGAGAATGAACACAACAGGTAGAATATTGCATGTATAACAATGCCTGCTTGTTTGTCATAGCTTGTGATGCTCAGTTAAATTGAGTACAAAGTAAAAGTGATCAAAGCTAATCAGAACTCATAGTTACTTGGCTTGGCTTATTCTAGAAGGCCAATTAATACACTTATCTCTAATAGTTGTGTACTTTTAACATTACTTTTGATATTATATTATCATAATTTATTAAAATAATGACATAATATAATTCCGTGAAGCTAAAGTCTAAAGTGTTGGTTACTTTAAATTTTCTTTTAAATAAGTTTTTTCCAGACTTTTAAATACTTTTACTTTTTTTTTTTAAATTATTTTATTTTCCAGACTACTAAATGCTTTTACCACCTTTTCTTATAAATGATTTTATTTTCAAGAAATTCCATATTAGAAATACTTAATCATAAAACTTGATACATGTTTCAAACAAACAAAAAAAAACATTTTTTTACTTAAATTTCATATAAATAATTATTTTCATTTAATTTTACCTGTGACTGCATTAGACACTTATGACTAAAACGACATAATTTGCAAATACAACATCTATTGTTCTTCCCATAATCTCCCATGTAGGAATAGCCAGAAAACTAAAATACAAAGTGTAGGAATAGCCAAAAGGTACCCTAGAAACATCCCATTTTACGGTAGTTTTGTTAATATACAAGTAGACCGTAATTCCTAAACTCCTTCAATCAATGTGTTTACCGTCATGTTCGAGGCCTAAATATTGAAACATCGAAACCAAATACAAACTTAATGACGTTATATAAAGGCAACAGTAGTATACCGCTGTTCGAAATTCATAAATCGATTAAGAAAAAAACAAATCCGGGTTACAAACTAAAACTGAGGGAAAAACACATCAAATATAAGAGGAGAACTACAACACAACAGAAACACAACATTAAAATGTAACACTCACAGAAACGAACTATAATATAACAATGGCTATTAAAATATGTTAAAATACTAAATCCCTGGGATGTGTTTTAGTTGATTTAGGCTCTGATGCATGATTTTTTATTATTAAATGTTTTTGGCGTTTAACTAGCTGTCAGTAATTGCGAGTACTCTCAAATCTTACTTTCTTGTAAATTTGACCTGTTGATACTATTTGTAATGCTTTTTTGTTATTTAATGTTTACTTATTCAGGGTTATATCTCGTCTATATACCAGCTTTGATAAGTGTTTGGTATTACAATAATTTTTCACTTCTTCGTACTATGAACAACAAAATTATTTATTTTGTAAAAAATATTTTCATTCTCCATTTAAACCTTATACCTTACAACAAAATTATTTTCATTTACCTGTGTATATTATTGTATATGGCGGCTTTTTGTTCAAGGTTATTGTTGGATTTTTTAAATTGTTTAACATCACACAGCGGTATACTACTGTTGCCTTTACTTATTTACCCCTTATTTTATTTATTTTGTATTTACATTGTATCATAGATCAAATGTATGCGTTCAGTGTATGTTCACTTGTGTTTATATGTCTTTTGATTGAGTTAAGCCATTTCAATTGATATTTTATAGTGTGTCTTTCTATGGTGTGATGTTACACTATTGTTTCGGATAAGGGTGAATGTTGGTACCTATTAACACGTTTAAACCCGCTGCATTTGTTTGCATCTGTCCTAAGTCAGGAATCTGATGTTCAATAGTTGTCGTTTGTTGATGTGGTTCATAAGTGTTTCTCCTTTCTCGTTTTTATATAGGTTAGACCGTTGGTTTTCCCGTTTG